AGGTTTTGTGAAGACAAAATGCCTGTCAAGTGTTTAACACAGAGCAGGTCAGGTCGAAATGTGTCTTGGGGTTGGTGAGTTCGGGGTCACAAGTAGAGAATGCATCTAGAGATGAAGGAAAATCAGAGGAAAACAAGCACCATGGATGCTATTGTTCTTGCTCACTGCCTCCAGGTATGTGGGCATGGTGGAGAAGCCAGTTCCAGAGTGGAGTAACCCCAGGGGCTGTCTGTGGCCTCTCTCTCTCCCCCTCCCCCTGAGGTCTGCAGAGCTCACCCACCTTGAAGCTGAGCAGCCCGGCACCAGGCACTGGGTGATGGTGAGGGGCCAGAAATAACCGCCGTTGCTATTCCTGCCTTCTGTGCTGGTTGAGAAGGCTGCCTTTCTAATCTAAAGGCTGCTCTAGACTTCCTGCACATCAGTGGGCTCTTATGTAATACCCCCCCTCCCTCTGCCTGCCCAACGAGCTTCCAGAGATTTCTGCAGCCTGCTTTGCCGCACACTTAACTGGGGGTGGGAGGAGCAAAAAAGCCACCAGCTACAGGCTGGACTGTCCCTGGACCCTGCAATCCAGCCAACCCTGGGCCTAGGAGAGGGGCTGCCCAGACCAAGGCAGAGGGAATGATGTGCAAGGACAGCCTCCTTTTGCATATGCAGGACATTCTGGGGCAGAGAGAATCCAGAGAGCTCTACCCAAGCTTTCACCTGCATCCACCAAGGGCCTTTTTCCTTAACACACCCTCAGGGCCAGCTCCCAGGTTACTTTACCTCCACAATGAAGTGGCTTAAACTAACTCCAGGGCAGGCTGACCCAGCCCAGCCCTCAGTTCTCTTAGCCCTCCACCCTAAGCTGGACTAAGTCCTCTCTGGGCAGCCCTTGGATCCAGAACATGCCAGGCACCCTCTGCAGAGCCCAATCAGCAGCCTCAGCCTCAGACTCTCTCTGCGTGGGCCCTGTTCCAGCTATTTTAGCACTCAAGGGTCTCCTCTGCCACCCAGTTTCCCCATCTGTAACTAGACAGAGGCCTCACACTCCAACATTTTGGGGTGATACTTCTCCCCTTTTTAATCCCCATGTCTCATTTCTCCCACCCCCTCAGTGCAACTCTGTCTCCCCCATACCTGGCCTCTTCAGATTTCTTCTCATCCTTCAAGAGCCTCCTTGGGGCAGCAGGGCTGCCCCACCGCTCAATGAAGACCAAACCCTCCATGTTTCCGGCAGAACTCATTAGCCGTTGGAAAGTGTGACAGGCACCCCAGACTGAACCCGAGAGTCACTTCCTGAGCCCCAAGTCGGCTGAAGCTGTGACAAACCACAATCTGAGAAGCACTTTTGTGCGCTGACGTAGCCCCCAGAGGAGGAAGAGGAAGCAGCAACGGAAAACGAGACTTTTTTTCCCCTGAGCATTGTAGCCCTAGATTGGGTGTCTGATAGGTGATGGTTCCCACTGGTTTTCTCCTGGAAGCTCAGCTGCCATAGCCACGCTCAGGTCTCCCTCACCTCTGCCTCCTCCTCCTCGACTCTCCCTTTCGCTGGCACTTCTAAGTACAGACCTACTGATCCTCTGGGGGCCTCTCTCCTAGCCCAGGGCTTCTGGTACCAGTCTCTAAGCAGGCAAGGTCTGAGAGTCTCAGACTCATCCCTGAGCATCCATGAGGCCCCAGCAGGTACCCTGGCCAGGTGCTGAGAGAGCAGAGCTTCCTCACACCCCCCTGCTTGCTTCCTTTAGGCCTCAGGCCCATCTGGATTATTGGTCATGACTTGGTTGCTCACAAGCCTAAACTGTGGCTCCTTTAGAAGGGACAATTCTTTCTTTTCCTTATACATTTTAGAAGGACAGATTTATTAAGAGAAGGAAAAAGGGGAAGGGCAATTTTTTTTTTTTACTATGTTCTCTTGGTCACAGCAAACAGAAGTATGCCATTGGTCGAAAGACAATCCATCAGAGGTGGGATAACATAGAGGCCAGCCTTGCTGCTGAGAATGCAGAAGCCTACCCAGGACCTGCCTTCTCATTAACTGTCCCACTCTCCAGAGGGCTAAGGCCTGTCAGCCTGTGGGGGCTTGAGCTCACCTCCCCCCCCCCACTTTGCGGGCAGAAGCTGCTTCCCAAGGGTGCATACCTTGGAGGAGGGTGGGGTTGAAAAAGCCACCTACCCTACTATATAAACTGTAGCAGTTAGAACAAATGAGGTGCCCTAGAAGGGATATAGTTCAGCCCTAAACATTCTCACTACCTGCTGCTCAGCCTGAGGCTCTACACTGATCAAGACCAAAGCTTTCCTGTGCTCTTTCCCCAGAACACTCTCCTACCACACTCTTTCTGCAGTGGGTTTCCACGCATACTCTACCTCTGCATAATATCATCTCATCTGATCTGCCTTCTCTCACCTGTCCAGTATGTTATACTTACTATAATTCAAAATTATACCTTTTGTTTACATGTTTTTTTTTTTTGTTCTGTCTATCCCACTGAATGGTAGTTTCCAGGAGAAGAAAACTACATTCGCCTTCTTCATTGTGGAGTCTAGACAGCTCCCAGGGACGGAAGGATCCCAAGTACTGCTCAGTCTTTTGCATTCCCAAACTCAGGAACATTGTGATTCAGTTAGTCTAGAATAAATCCTTTTGACTTCATCACTCCATGGGTGATTCTGTTCAGTCCATGTTGAAAAATTCTGCTGTCAGAATTTATCAGCAAGGCGATTCAGATTAGTTCTTCTGAACGATGTCCCTTGGGCTGGAATTGGAATGTTTCTTTCTCTCCATACAACCTTTCAGAAAAGGGTCCCTGGCTTTGCCTGGAGGCTGAGGATGGATGGACAGTTTTGTGGGTGACTCTGTGAGTCAAAAGCCCTTGAAAATAACACCAGCCTCTGCTTATTGACTGCCAGCTGCAAAGCAGGCACTGCACTTTGGGACTTTAGAGAGGGCAGTTCATGTACATTTTAGTCATCACAACAATCCTTCCATATGGGTATCATATTAGCCAGATTTTACAATTTTAAAAAGTGAGGTACAAAAATCCCTGCCAAAGTATTCCACCAGGGAGTGACAAAATGGTTATTGAGGCACAAGACCTTCCCACCCTGCCCCTTGCCTTCCTTCCCAGCAGGGTTCTCAGAGGCCATTATTCAAGTCCCTAATGACAGTAGGAGTGGGCCTCTCACCCCGCAGCAGGCGTGAGGGATGGGGAGCTCACACCCAGAGCACGAAACCCTGCTTCATGCTGGATTCATTCACTGGCCTTATACGTGTGCTGGGGGTGGTGGTGGTGGGGTACAAAAGGATGAAGGCCAAGAGAGTTCCCCTCCCCCATTCCAATCTCCCAAGAGGTTGTTTGAGTTCACGGAGAGCCTGACCCGCCCCGAACATCCCCAGCATTGGCAGTGCCCTCCTTCCACACACACACACACACACACATTCTGCTTTCTTTTTCAGTTCAGAACAGCACCTACCTCCCCTAGATTCAGATCTAGATAGAGCAGGAGCCTTCCCTTCCCGGAATCCCTGTTTTCTTTGGGGTGCGCATTTAACTGCGGAAAGACTGTGCAGGGAGGGCTTCCCCGTCCGCATCCCGCTCCCGGGAGACCTGCGGGAATCTTCCCTTCTCCTGCCTACCCCCTCCCCCACTCTAGGCCTGGCTCGGGGAGGGGAGTGTTATCCCGCCTGGAGTCTGGGCGCCTCGGCGGTGGCGGCTCCCCAGGGACTGCAGGGAGAGCCCGGGCTGCGGCGCCTGCTCAGTTCGCGCTCACTGCGTCTAAGGCTCCCGGGGCCTGGCCCAGCGCCCAGCACTGGAGCCAGGAGGGGGAGCAAGGAGGAGGCGGAAGAGCCCACTCGGCCAGGGGCCGGGAGAATTTAGCTGAAGAGGGGACCTCCAGGGGGCAGCACCAAGCCGCTGAGCAGGTCCTGTCTTTGCGCCAAGTCTGGGGACCCCCAGACAGCCCACAGGAAAGCCCTCTCCACATTCCCTCGTTGCCACCTGTTCTGCATGAAGGTGGGAAAGTCTCCCACCACCAGCTCATGGAAAACAGGACGCAGGTCTCCCAGGGCCATCAGATTTCCTCAACCAGAGAACGGCTTTTCCCTTGGGGATGGCGCAGAGGGATCCCCAGGCCTCAACAGCTCTATCCCATTGACAGATGGGACAAGCGGGTCGCCTACCACAACGCATAGAGGCCCAAAGAACCATCTGGTTCTTTCCGAGACTCAGTTTCCCCGGTGACACCTGGAAAGGCGCCATGTCATTGGTCAAGGCCCCGCCTCTGCTGGGCGGCCTTTGCCCAGGCCAGCCCCGCCGCTCCTCCCCCTCGATCCCACGGTCCCAGAGGTGCGGCTCTAGATGACAGCGGCAGAACCCCAGCCCGACGCCCTCGCCCCCGCCCTGGTCTCGGGCTTCCCCAGCCCAGTCCCCACCGGGTAGCCGCCAGACCCACGGTGCGCCGAGAGCCCCGAGCCCTCCCCGACTGGGTGTCCCCCGCTCCAGCTCGCGTTCCGGCTCTCGGCTTGGAACCAAGAAGAGAGGGAGCCAGGGAGCAGCAGGCAGCGACCCGGAAACGCCATATAAGGAGCAGGAAGATCCCCCTAGCCGGAACAGTCCTTATTTGGGCAGCGCCTTATATGGAATGGCCCGATATGGCCCGGCTGCTTCCGGCTCCGGGAGGAGGGAAGAAGGCGGAGGGGAGGGGCGGGGGCAGAACTGGGAACTCCGGAGCCGCGCGAGTCCCGGAGTCCTCAGCTGCAGCTTGAGCCCTACGATTTCTCGAGGCCTGGGCTCCCAGGGTGCGGGAGCTGGCTCTGGGCCTGAGGTCGGGATGGCGGTGCCCACCGCTCTGGAATGGGGGGGCTTCACGTCACTCCGGGTCCTCCCGGCGGGTCTTGCCATATTAGGGCTTCCTGTTTCCCAAATATGGCCATGTACGTCATGACGGGGGCGGGCCGATACTGCTCCAGACCCTTCAAATAGAGGCGGATCCGGGGAGTCGCGAGAGATCCCAGCGCGCAGAACTCGGGGAGCCGCCGCCGCCAGCCGCCGCCGCCGCCAGCTTCCGCCACCGCAGGACCGGCCCCTGCCCCAGCCTCCTAAGCAGCGCCGCGTCCACGCCGGCCGGCGGCCGGGGCCAGCCTGGGGAGTCCACCTGCGCTCTCCACAGTGTGTCCCGCGCCACGCATGTGACCCGGCCAGACCCCCGAAAGTGTGTCCCCTGCAGTTCTGACCCCGGGCTGCGCCCGCCCGCCCCAGTACCAGCTCTCCAGCCCGCCGGCTCGGGATGGCCGCAGCCAAGGCCGAGATGCAGTTGATGTCCCCACTGCAGATCTCAGATCCGTTCGGCTCCTTTCCTCACTCGCCCACCATGGACAACTACCCTAAGCTGGAAGAGATGATGCTGCTGAGCAACGGGGCTCCCCAGTTCCTGGGTGCCACCGGGACGCCGGATGGCAGTGGCGGTAACAGCAGCAGCAGCGGGGGCAGTGGAGCTGGAGGGGGCGGCAGCAACAGCAGCAGCAGCAGCAGCGCCTTCAACCCTCAGGGGGAGTCGGGCGAGCAGCCCTACGAGCATTTGACCGCAGGTAAGCAGTGGCCTATGCCAAGGATTAGCCTTTTCTCCACCATCCTGGCGTCCAGTCTTTCCCCACGGCCTTTATAGCGCCCTTTCAACCGCAGCAGTACTCCTGGGATGCAAGCGGTGTTTCCCTTGTATTCCTCGCAGCCTCGGGGTCATGTGTTAGACGGATGCCTGGGGACATCCACCCCCACCCCCACCCTCCTGTCCCTAGCGGTGCGCAGAGGTGCGAGCTTTTGTTTTGGATAGAGAGCTGTGGGGCTGCGTGGGTGGTTGGATGGGGGGGGCTTGTTTTGATGATCTAGGCTGCGCCCCCACTTCCCTCCCGGGAAGGGCTTGCCTTGCCTGATGCCCGTCCCCAAGGAAGGGCTATGATCCGTGGCCAGGGATGTCCCCGTAGTCCGGGTTAGGGGGCGCGCACTATCCTTAGCCGTTAGGGTGCTGGCGGGAATCCCTTGCCCGCGCAGCTGCTGCTGTTGCTGCTGCTGCTGCTGCTGCTGCTGCTGCGGAGCATTGAGAGCTGCAATGGAGGGGATTCTCCGTATTTGCGTCAATTGTTATTGAAATGGGCTCTGCTGTTGGAGCGGGTCCAGGAACATTGCAATCTGCTGCTATCAATTATTAACCAGCTCGGGAGTCAATGGTAGCTGGCCCGACCTCTTGCCTGGCAGCTTGTGTCCTCCTCACCCTCCAGTGATTGCTCTCCAGTAACCATGTCACCCCCCCCCTCTCTCCTGCCAGAGTCTTTTCCTGACATCTCTCTGAATAATGAGAAGGTTCTAGTGGAGACGAGTTACTCCAGCCAAACCACTCGGCTGCCCCCCATCACCTACACTGGCCGTTTCTCTCTGGAGCCTGCACCCAACAGTGGCAATACCTTGTGGCCGGAGCCCCTCTTCAGCCTGGTCAGCGGCCTTGTGAGCATGACCAACCCGCCTGCCACCTCCTCCTCGGCGCCTTCTCCAGCGGCTTCTTCCTCCTCTGCCTCCCAGAGCCCACCCCTGAGCTGTGCAGTTCAGCCTAATGACAGCAGCCCCATTTACTCGGCGGCACCCACCTTCCCCACGCCTAACACTGACATCTTCCCTGAGCCACAAAGCCAGGCCTTCCCTGGTTCAGCAGGCACTGGTCTCCAGTACCCGCCTCCTGCCTACCCTACCGCCAAGGGTGGCTTCCAGGTCCCCATGATCCCTGACTATTTGTTTCCACAACAGCAGGGGGACCTGGGCCTGGGCACCCCAGACCAGAAACCCTTCCAGGGCCTGGAGACCCGAACCCAGCAACCTTCGCTCACGCCACTCTCTACCATCAAGGCCTTTGCCACACAGTCAGGCTCTCAGGACCTGAAAGCCCTCAACAACACCTACCAGTCCCAGCTGATCAAACCCAGCCGCATGCGAAAGTACCCTAATAGGCCCAGCAAGACACCCCCTCACGAACGCCCCTATGCCTGCCCGGTGGAGTCCTGTGACCGCCGCTTCTCCCGCTCAGACGAGCTCACCCGCCACATTCGCATCCACACCGGCCAGAAGCCCTTCCAGTGTCGTATCTGCATGCGCAACTTCAGCCGCAGCGACCACCTCACCACCCACATCCGCACCCACACGGGCGAGAAGCCCTTTGCCTGTGACATCTGTGGGAGGAAGTTTGCCAGGAGTGATGAACGCAAGAGGCATACCAAGATCCACTTGCGACAAAAGGACAAAAAAGCAGACAAAGGAGTCGTGGCCTCTTCGGCCACCTCCTCCCTGTCTTCCTACCCGTCTCCAGTGGCTACCTCTTACCCCTCCCCAGTCACTACCTCTTACCCATCCCCAGCCACCACCTCATACCCCTCTCCTGTGCCCACCTCCTACTCCTCCCCAGGCTCCTCCACCTACCCTTCCCCCGTGCACAGTGGCTTCCCGTCACCCTCGGTGGCTACCACGTTCTCCTCGGTGGCTCCTGCTTTCCCGGCCCAAGTCAGCAGCTTCCCATCCTCAGCTGTCACCAACTCCTTCAGTGTCTCCACAGGGCTTTCGGACATGACAACAACTTTTTCTCCCAGGACAATTGAAATTTGCTAAAGGGAGAAAAGGGAAATGAGAAGGAAAGAAACACAGAGACTTAAAAAGGACAGGAGGAGGAGAAGGTCACAGGAGGGGGGAGCCTCTTAGTTCAGATGGAGGTTCCCAGAGCCAAATCCTCCCCCTCTACCCGGCCCTAGGGTCAGAGTGAAAGGTCTGTTGGCCAACAATTCTTCCTGTCTGCTTCCCCTTCCTCCCCAGTTCCTACTCCTTTTGAATCCAGCTGCCTGAAACAGCCATGTCCAAGTTCTCCACTTCTATCCAAAGAACTTGATTTGCATGGATTTTGGATATATCTTTTCAGTATCATCTCCATCGTATGCCTGACCCCTTGCTCCCTTCAATGCTAGAAAATTGAGTTGGCAAAATGGGGTCTGGGCCCCTCAGAGCCCAATTCTGTACCCTTGTACAGTGTCTGTGCCATGGATTTCATTTTTCTTGGGGTACTCTTGATGTGAAGATAATTTGCATATTCTATTGTATTATTTGGAGTTAGATCCTCACTTTGGGGGGAGGGGGGGAAGAAAAGCCAAGCAAACCAATGGTGATCCTTTCTTTTGTGAAGATGCTGTGACAATTAAGTTTTAAGCTTTTTTTGAAACAGCAGTACTTGGTATTAATCAGAGCATGTGTCAGAGTGATGTTCCGTTAACCTTTTTGTAAATATTGCCCAATTGTACTCTCACATGTGGCAAAATATGGTTTGGTTTTTCTCTCTCTCTTTTTTTTTTTAAGTTTTTTTTTATTTTTTTTTAGTTTTTTTGTCCATTTGGTTTAAAAAGTTTCACGTCTTGGTGCCTTTTGTGTGATACGCCTTGCTGATGGCTTGACATGTGCAATTGTGAAGAAAGTGCTCCCCTCTAGCCTTAAGGGGGGGCAAGGAGTAATGACTTGGGGGGAGGCTTTGGGAGCAAAATGAGAAAGAGGGCTGAGTTCAACTGCAGTTCTCCAGAATGTAAGAAAACAAAATGTAAAACAAAATTTGAACTCTCAAAAGTCTATTTTTTTAACTGAAAATGTAAATTTATAAATATATTCAGGAGTTGGAATGTTGTAGTTACCTACTGAGTAGGCGGCGATTTTTGTATGTTATGAACATGCTGTTCATTATTTTGTGGTTTTATTTTACTTTGTACTTGTGTTTGCTTAAACAAAGTGACTGTTTGGCTTATAAACACATTGAATGCGCTTTATTGCCCATGGGATATGTGGTGTATATCCTTCAGCAAAATTAAAAGGAAAATAAAATAGCTGTGGTTGGGTGTGTGTTTCCTGGGCTGGGGGAGGACCCCGTAGTATTCCTTGTGAAGGGGTTTGAGGGGCATTTTACAGAGACCAACAGGACCCTTCCCCACTGTATGTCAGTGGGGTGAGTGAATTCTTTTTAAGTGCTGGGTAGGGGGTCTCTGTAATACTGGTTCTGTTCCTGCTCATCCTTGGTAGACTGCAGCCACAGTTACTTAAATCTTCAGGAGGCCAGAAGGAGGGATAGATATGTGTGGCCACAGACAGTGCTATTCTGGCCCCAGTGTTTGACCAGCCCTGCCCCCCACATTTACCCAGGGTTGGGAAAATCTGTGTTCTTGGGAATCCCTTGGTGAATAGGGTGGACAGATAAGGGAGACAGTAATCTAGGCTGACTCAGCCTCTCCCTCCCATCCTCCATGCCCCCAGAAACCTGAGGGAATTGAAGAAGCCTAGAAAAGGCAAGGGCCAGTTCTTAAGCCAAGAATCCTTCCAGGAAGAAAATCTCATTACTTGCCAGCTGGAGCTGTGATCCTTGGCAGCTTCCTGGGACATAGGACAGAGTGTTAGGAGGCTGGCTGGGTGTTGAAAGTTCCCATCTAGACCAAGTCTGTCCCCGTTATGTAAGAGGCCTGAAGTGCTAGGTTCCTCTGGCCCCAGTCCTCTGGAAGGGCCCTTGTGTCTGAAGACAGATGCTCGTAAGCATCTGTCTGCTCTGTGAGAGGCCTTGAGCTGGCTACAACAATAATGCAGATTGTCAGTTGGGGATACAGAGATGTAAGCCAAAAAATTAAAACCTGGTGTTAGGTTATATAATACGGACAGGCATAGGGCTCCAGAAGAGCACAGAAAAGGGCACTCAACCCAGGAGCTTAGGAAAAATGGAAAAACTGAGCTGGGAAGGATAAGTTAGAGACAACCTGATTGACTTGCTTTTGTGTGTGAGGCAGGGAGGGTGTTGGCTGGTTCTTTGCCAGGGCGAGTAGATGATGGATTACTGAATGGAAACATTACCTCCAACCCTTGTGGGAGTCTTCCATGAATTAGTCAGACACCACCATCCATTGGGCAGAGGGATGCAATAGATTTGATGTCCTGGGATTTCCAAGCCTTGACCCATCTCCCAATTCTAGACCCCTGAAGTCAAGAATATACCTCTTCCCAGTATGGCTATCAGGCCCTGAGTGGAACCCTAGTTAACCTGCCTTCTACTCCTCTCTCTGAGGGTCTCCCAGGTTATAGACTCACACCTATTCTTGGGCCTGGGGGAATTTCAGCAAGCTCCTGGCAGTAGGCCAACAATTTGTCTTCTAGTCTAACCCCTGTTTAGCAGTATGTTGGTCTCTGCCCTTCCCTGTGATACCAGACTCGCCCTGGAGTGAGGAGCCAAGCTACCTTCACTAGCAGAGGGCACATCCCTGAGAGGCTCCAGGCAACACTGCCAAGTCCTGATGGGACAATATTTGTGCTGGCACATCTCTTGCCAGCCCCGCCTACCCCTCCCCATTTCACTCTATGCCCAGGAACACAAGTCTATGCCTGTTACACATTCTTAAGACTATCTTACCACAGACTCTCAAGAAACAAAACATGGCAGGAACAAAATCTGAAGGAAGGAAGCAAAAAGACTCTCCCTCTGAGGCAGAGGTGTCTAATGCTTCTACAGAACCTCAGAATCAGATTCCCAGGCCCAGAGTCTCATTCTACAGACCAGGAAAGGGGCTTTGGAACCAGCATGTTAACAAGCACCCTATGTATTTCTGAGGCAGATGGCTTGATGAGAAACTCTGCCAACCCTGCCGGCTGATTGTTATTAGTCCTGTCACCAGGCTTTCCTGAGGTTCAAACTGTCCAAATCAAGTTCCTTTGCATGATTTGAAATAGGGCAAACTAAAAAATGGCCCCATTTTACAGTACTATGGTAAAAAGAAAAAGAAAGTATTCTTTTTAAGTTTTGCTTCTGTGAAGGAAACCTGCGATCAAGGGCCCAGGGCAGTGCTGATAAAAGCACTCATCCTTAAAAAAGCTGAGGTTTGGGAATGGACCAGATAGTGTTGAACAATTGATTGCTACCTGGGGACATTCTCTAGAGCTTCAGGGATGGGGACTCTGACAGAAAGAGGAATGGAAGAGGAGAGAAGGGGTGGAGAAGGGAAGGCTTCTCCTGCTAAAGAGAGGTTTAGGTTTTAAAGTAAAAGAAAGGACCCTAAGGACCTTTGACCTTTCCTCCTAGCAACTAAGAAGTACACTCTTTTCTAGAATTTCAGGAATGCTCAGCCTCATCTATTTTGAAAGTTTCTAAGTATTCAGGAAGGCCTGATAGACAGGCTATGTTCGAGGTATGTGTCCATTTACCTTTCCTCCCTACTCAAGTCCCTCTTACCCCACCTGGAAGAAGTGAAATGAGAAATAGGTACTATAGGACCAGAAGCTTTCCTGCTATTTCCTCTGATTCCACCTTAGAAGCTTGAGCAGACTGAAATCCCAATGTCCTAAGGGAAATTAGGGCAAATCTAGAAGAATTAAATATTGAATTAAGCAGATTTCTACATTTCACCCACAAACCTTTGGGTGAAGATAAAATGTTTGTACCCAGTGGCAGATCTAACCTTCCACTTCAGTCATCTTGCTTTCTGTCTCCCTTTTGCATTACTAGAACCTAAGAGAGGCTTTCATGTCAAAGCTTACTTAAGTTTTCTTAGGTGGTTCAGCTCCTCAGACCCAAGTAAATTATCTCATCTTCCTTTCAGGAGTTCTCTCCAACAAGCCCGTTCTCCTCAGTAAACTTGGGCTTATTATTATTATTACAATTTTATTGAGGTACAGTTGATGCACAATAATCTCCCTATAAAGTGTATAGGTTGATGAGTCTTGACATGTGTACACAGGTGAAAATACAAGATAGTGAACATATACATCACTTCCAAACATTTCCTCAACTATTGTCTTTTCCAGATAGATACTAACAAGCATTGGTGATGATGAGATGTGGAAATACAGGAATTCCGTACATTGCTGGTGGGCAAATTCCATATAATGCTGGTGAGTATGGAAGAAGGCACAATCAGTTTGGAAAGCGGGTTAGCCACTTCTAAAGTTAAACACACAGTAACCACAGGAACCTAGCAGCAATTCCACCCCTCAATATCTACCTGAGAGAAATGAAAACACATTCACACAAAGGTATGTGTGTGAACATTGATAGCCACATTCTTCATAATAGCCCCAAAGAGGACACAATCTCAATGTCCATTCAACTGGTGAATAGATAAAGAAGAGGTGGTATATCCAAATAATGAAAGGACCATTCTTCAGTAAAAAGGAATAAAATACAGATGTATGTGCATTTCAATATGGAAAAACCACAAAAGTGTTACAGTAAGGTCAACTGTATACTCTATTGACTGCATTTATATGAAATGTCCTGAAAGGGCACATTTATGGAGACATAAGGCAGCCTGGTAGGGGCCAGGGGCTGGAGAGAAGCACAGCATTAACTGATTGCAAATCAGCTTGTTCTTTTCGGAATGATGGGCATGTCCTCAAACTGGATTTCAATGCTTGAACAACTCTGTAAGGTACTGAAAGTCACTGAGTTGTGTGCTTAAAATAGATTAATTTTATGGTATGTAAATTATACTTCTGTCTCCAGGGGCCTTCTCTCCTGCTAATTTCCCCAGGCCTGTGCTGTGACCAGCCCCTCTGCTTGAGAGACACATCCCTCTAAGGTGGGGGTGCTGACTTGCCTACTAGGCCCTGTGTGTTGGCATGGTGGGGTTAGAGATCAAAGAGCAGGCCCTGTGTGTTGGCATGGTGGGGTGGGAGGATGGAAGTCTTCTGGAAATTCTCTCTTGGGATTTATTTTGAGTGGGGGAGGGCAAGTGGGTGGAGAGGAATCTAACCTGAATTGTCACTATCTACGTGAACCAGGGAGTTCAAGCTGCTCGCCAGGGTCAGTGTAACAAACCCAGAAGTTGCTGTTTCCACAGAACTAGTAGTGGTTGCCCTCCTTAGGGAAAACTACCTCAGCTGCCTCAGGAAGTTTTCTCCTTAGAGCCAACTTCTCATCCTAGAAACTTTTCAAGCCTAGTTCTTGAGAAAGCCTAGTTTTTTGAAATTTTGGGCCCTCTCTGCTGGCTCAATGGGTAAAAGCATGGCACTATTTGCAGCCACTGCAGCACAAGTTTGATTCCTGGCCAGGGATGTGACCCACATGGCGCGGAAGGCCTCTCCTGACGGGCCCGCTGCTCCCCTCAGCAGTGTACTTGATCCATCTGCCTGCTCTGCTCCCCTCTCTGTCTCTGGTGAATCCTCTCGCCCCCACCTGTACCTCAGCTCTGTATGCATAAATAAATAAATCTTAAAAAATAAATAAATCTTTAAAAAGAAAATACATTGTTAAACAACGGACTACTAGGCAGTCATTATTAAGTCATGTTCTCAAATAATGATTGACCTGAAAAAGTGCCCACAGTGTACTAGTGAGTGGTAAAATACAAATATAAAATTTCATATGGAATTACACGTTTAACACATACACATATTGAATGAAATTTGGGCCTCCCAGGTGGCACAGGGTTAAAGACATCCCCACTCTGTCTCTGATGAATCCTCTCATTCCCCTCACCTCTAGCCTATACCCCAATTCTTGTATGCATAAATAAATCTCTAAAAAAATAATAAGGCCCTCCCTGGTGGCGCAGCGGGTTAAAGCACAGCACTGAGAATCTGAAGCCACTTCCGTATGAGTTCGATTCCCGCCTGCCGCCTGCCCCGGAGGAGACCACATGGCGAGCCAGACCTATCCTGACCCGCCCGCTGCTTCCCTCAGCAGTGTACTTCATCGATCTGCCTGTTCTGCTCCCCACTCTGTCTCTGGTGAAGCCTCTCACCGCCCCTGAGCCTCTGGCCTGTACCCCAGTTCTGTATGAATAAATAAATCTTTAAAAAAAAATAAATAAAATAAAATGCATTTCTCAAGTAGCTACTTTTTGTCAGGCCCT